TGAATGGGTGAGTGGATGAGTGAGTGACTGGAAAGAATGGTAGGGAGCATCAAGCAGGTTGGTCAGACGGGTGAGGCAGTAGGTGTGTCGAGTGGGAAGTTGTTGAGGTGGTGGATTGATAGGGTGGCCAATGGGTAGGGTGCTAAGTGGGTAGGGAGACAGGTGGGTCTAGTGATAAGTGAGTAGGATGTTAGGTTGACAGCAGGGTCAAGTCAGGAAGGGTAATCAGGTTGGGTTTGGCAGGGTTGGGCTTTGGTGTGTAGTGGAAGTTTCATGTGGTCTGGGAAGTGGTCAGGTCAAATTGGGTTGGAAGGGTTAATTGAGGGCACAGTGAGGGTCAGTTGTTGGATGCTGTGGGGTTAGCATGGGCAGGAGGGATGATTGAGTCAGGTTGAGAGTGTAGTCAGGTCTGGACAGGAGTATAGTTGGAGGCTGGGGAAGGAAGCAAAATTTGCCTCTAAATCAGAGTCAACGACATTCTCACAGGATCCCAGTGAACAGAGGAATTGCATGTCAGGTGCACAAACTGCCCAGGCAATTCCCATACGATGAGTCATAACTTCTGAAGGGTCCCAATGTGCACCTTGTGTGATAACATCTGGTCTCTGATGATCTGGGGACTGGAAGTTATGGGTCAAATGGGAGGAATGCTGCACTGTGCATTGTCAAAACTTTGGGGAGTTTTCACACCAAATGTCATCTGGCTATGGGAAACTGTGCAATTTTGTGCATTGTCTGAACTATGGAGACTGTTAGCACTGTCTGTTTCCTGAGCTTTGAAAGGTCATCGATCTAAAATGTTCTTTTCTCCGCTCTGATACTGCCTTATCTGTTCAATGTTTCTAGCATTTTCTGTTTTCATTTCAAATGATTACCAACTGCAATATTTTTGTTTTGAAGAGTTACACCATCTCACAGCAGCCATCCAAAATTTAAACCTGGCATTGTTTACGTTCAGTCTGAGTGCCCTTGGCTAGTTCAAATTGCACATATTCAGCAGAATGTCAGTTTTCTGGCCAATTACATCTTGTGCTTCCCTAACTTTTCTGCAGACATGTTTTCTGGAAAAGTTGATGTTGTCCACAAATGATGCTTCCTGGAGATTCCAATCCAGCAATAACAGAATTCACTCACCAAAGGTCCCTAGCACCTTCTGAAACCACAACCCCTTCCACCAGGAGTACAAGGGCAGCAGATACATGGCCTGCAAGTTCCTCTCCAAGCTACACAGCATCCCGACTTGGAGCTATTTCACTGCTCCTGCGTCAAAATCATGGAACTCCCTCTCTAACAGCACTGTGGGTGAAATTAATGACACTCCCACCCCCTCCACTGCACCCCCCGCTCCAATCCCCCAACACCTCATGGACTATAGCGGTTTAAGAAGGCACCCCAGCACCACGTTTTCCAGGCAATTATCATCATAGAATCCCTACAGTGTGGAAGCAGGCCATCCAGCTCAGCGAGTCCACACTGATTCTCTGAACAGCATCCCACCCAGACACACCCACCTTTCCTATCTCTGTAACCTTGAATTTTTCCATGGCTAATCCACCTAGCCTGCACATCTCTGGACACTATGAACAATTTAGCATGGCCAATCCACCTAACCTGCACACCTGTAGATGTGGGAGCAAACTGAAACACCCAAAAGAAACGCAAGCAGACACAGGGAGAATGTGCAAACTCCACACAGAGAGTTGCCCAAGGATGGAATCCAACCTGGGTCCCTGATGATGTGAGGCAACAGTACTAACCACTGAGCCAATGTGCCACCCTATTAGTGATGAACAATAAATAGTGGCCTATCATCTGCACTCACATCCATGAATGAATACAAGAAAAATCCACAGAGTAAAAAAGCAGTTTGCTGTACTATTCGTATTTTGCTAATTCCTGAACACTGTTTCATAGGTTGTGATATTACAGCATTACACCTCAAACAGCCAGTACAAATTGTTGTTCTGTTGTTTCTTTTGTGATTCTCATGGAGTGTAATTATCAATCTGACATACAACTGCTGTTAGACGAGATAAAGAAACATCATATTCCATTTTATTTTACAATGAAATGAACTCCATAGTGTTTGAATATGGGTCAGGGTTTCTCATTTCTCTCCTGCATAGTTTCCCAATTCTAAGCTTGAAAGGTAAGTGTTGGGAATGTATACTCTTCAAAGAGACAAGGAAACATTGGAGGCTGGAACAAAAACAGAAATTGCTGGGAAAACTTAGCAGGGCTGGCAGCATCTGTGGAGAGAAAGCAGAATTAATGTCTCAGGTACAGTGACCCTTCTTTAGATCTTCAGTCCCTGGACCTGAAGCATTAACACTGTTTTCTCTCCACTGTTGCTGCCAGACCTGCTGAGTTTCTCTAATAATGTCTGTTTTTGTTTCTGATTTCTAGCATCCACAGTTCTTTCGTTTTTTTTGTTTAACATTGGAGACTGGTTCAGCTACTGTCTAATCTTAATGAGAAAATCAGAAATGAGTTTGTCAGAGACCTGGAGTAGTCCGCTTTGTTTAGGCAAGACTAGGAAATGGCGCATTGTCATGGACTATTTGAAGCATCAGGCATTTTGACAATAAACTAAAATTCTGTTGGAGCCAGATTTGAAGGATATGCTTTTGAAGGATGAAGCTGACACTTAGATATTTTTCAATGGACAATTGTGACTTCAGTGACATTAAGTCTGATTGACTGAAGCACACAGACAAAAGTAAAGATCTTAATGAATTTAAGGTATTTTTATCCTGACCATGAGTAATCCAGATTGGCAAATGATTAGCAAATTGTAAAATGGCTCTCATCTTTAATCAGATCTGTATCTTACTTTGGGTCTCATGACATTTGATCAATTGAGAGATTTACCAATAAGAATGAAGGAAGGGACCAGGACAATATCGTTTTCCCTCCCAATTAAAAAAAACTATATAAATGGAGTCAATGAGGTGCTTTTGAAGACATCCAGAGAATGCTTGGGCCAAGTTACAATATAGTCATGGAGTCAAACAGCACGGAAACAGATCCATCAGTCCATCTCTTCAACTCTGACAGACGTCTCAGTCTGACCTAGTCCCATTTGCCAGCACTTGCCCCATATCACTCTAAATCCCTCCTATTCATATACCTATCCAGATTTCTTTTAAATATTGTAATTGTATCTGGCTCCACCACTTCCTCTGCCAGCTCATTCTGTACACATATCAACCTCTGCATGAAAAAAGTTACCCCTCTGGTGCTTTTTAAATCTTTTCCCTAGGATAAAAACTGTGGCTATTTACCCTATTCACACCCCTCATGATTTTAAAAGCTTCAAAAGGTCACCCCCTCGGCCTCTGACGCTCCAGTAGAAAAAGCTCCAGCCTATTCAGCCTCTTCCTATAGTTCAAACCCTCCAGTCCTGGCAACATCCTTGTAAATCTTTTCTGCACCCTCTCAAGTTTAACAATGTCCTTCCTATAGAAGGATGACCAGAATTGAACACAATATTCCAAAAGTGGCCTCACCAATGTTGTGTACAGCCGCAACATGATGTCCCAATTCCTATAATCAATGCTCTGACCAATGAAGGCAAGTGTGCCACACACATTATTTGAGTTTCAAAAAAGCATGCCCAATGGATGTAACTTTAATTTCAGTGTGTTTAAACTGTAAGGTCAGCAATTGGTTCTTTTCCTCTGGCAGGAATATATTGAAGCAAATACTGCCATCTGTAACTGAAATTTTATTAACAATGTGGAGGACTACACATCCATACACATTATTGAAAGGAGCTTTTCCTTCGCCAGTCTTTCACTATAGGAATGAATACGCAGGCATATTTAGTGAAGGTCTGAAGAGGTGTCAAGAAATCACAGGCTCATCATATTGTCATTAAGAACGTAGTTTGAAAATCTCATTTTCAACAGGAACAAAAACAAAGTAGCTGGAAAACCGCAGCAGGTCTGGCAGCATCTGTGAAGGAAAAAACACATGTTCTGAGGAAGGTCACCACACCCAAAACGTTAACTCTGTTTTTTTTCCTTTACAGATGCTGCCAGACCTGCTGGGCTTTTCCAGCAACTTTGTTTGTGCTCCTGATTTACAGCATCTGCAGTTTTTTCAGTTTTCATTTTCAACAGGTTTGTGTTATGTATTAACAGATAGATCACAATGTTACTAATATAAGTACAAGAATAAAGCATGAAATTTGTATGACAGAGAGTTGAGAAGATGTAAATGTGCCACTGCAGGAAGTTTGCAACAGACGCAAAATTTCTAATGTACCTAAGGACAATCAGAATCAAATAAGACCAAAATAAGAAGCACAGGTAACACTTAATTCACACATAACCTTTAGAGAAGATGTACATCTCAAATGTGACTGCTGCTTAATTTTAACCCACACAGACTTTACGTGCATAGAATTCATTTGTCAAAAACATAATATTGGACACACGGATACTTTCAAAACTGGATGCGTATGAAGCGTCATATATTACAAACCTAAATCATAGTCACAGAATCATAGAGTTATACAGCATGGAAACACATCCTTTGGTTCAATTCGTCCATGCTGACCAAGTTTCCCAAACTAAACTAGTCTCATTTGCCTGCGTTTGGTCCATATCTCTCCAAACCTGGCCTCACCAATGTCTTGTAGAATTAGAACATGACACCTCAATTCCTATACTGAGCAATGAAGGCAACATGCCAAACGGCTTCTTTATCACTGTCTACCTGTGATGCAACTTTCAATGAACTATGTACCTATGTCTCTCTGTTCTACAACACTCCCCAGGACCATAGCACTAACTGTAGAAGTCCTGCCCTTGTTTGTCTTGCCAAAATGCGACACTTCACAATTATCTAAATGAAACTCCATCTGCTGCTCCTCGGCCCATTGGCTTAAAAATTCTTTCAGAGATAGTAGGAACTGCAGATGCTGGAGAATCTGAGATAACAAGGTGTAGAGCTGGATGAACTGAAGAAGGGTCTAGGCCCGAAACGTCAGCCTTCCTGCTCCTCTGATGCTGCTTGGCCTGCTGTGTTCATCCAGCTCTACACCTTGTTATCTCTGGCTTAAAAATTCTGGTCCTCCACTTAGTATCAATTGGAACAATCCTCCAGTAGGTAATAAAAACTTACAGGGAAGGTATTGAAACTTACCAGGGCACCACTGCTCAGCAGGATCATAAAGATAATGAATGTTTCAAACCAGTTGTGTTCTACTATCCTGAAGCAGGTCTTCCTCAGAATCCACCACATCTTTCCTCGATCACTCTTTCTATCGATATCAAGACAAGGACAGACTCTCAAACAGCCTGTACAAGCAGAAAAAGTTTAAAAAGGTTATTTTAAGCACTTTGCTCCCCAAGGATGACACCTAATATTTCCTATAAAAAACTTCCGCAAAAAATTTGACCTCAGAAAAGAATGCACTAGAAAGACATGGTTTTCAACAGATGTTGGAATATGTCTCAGCAGTCAGTTCCCACTGATAACATAAATATAAAATGTAATTTTATAATGCAAGTATTAATAGGGCATCACCAGAGGTGAATTTCTGCTCACAAACCAAGGAGGAAGGAGATAGCAGGATTATTTAAAATTACCGGTTGATAAAATTGGTCACATACTGTCTGGGGGAATCACAAGATTTGGCAGATGAACCAAAGATTTTGAAGAGAAGGATAATTAATATCTATCGTTAAAGAAAAGTCTGGGAAGCACAAACTGACATGCATCATGTCCAAAATATTGGACTATGTCTCAAAAGAAAGAACCTGCATTTGTTCAGCAGCTTATACATCCTCTCAAGAATCTTAAGGTTCTGTACAGCCACTTTTGAATTATAGTCACTGTAACAACGTAGGCAGTGCACTAAAATTAAATGACACCGATGATCAGCTAAAATATTTTATTGATGTGGGATGTGGTTTAAATGTTTGCCAGATCTCTGGATGAATCTAAATGTCTTTGTTTGAAGAGTTCTGGAGGTAGTTTTATGTCTACTTGATATGATAATTGGAGACTTTCGTTCATTTTCTCAACTATAAGATACAGCCTGCATACGACACTGGGGATTCAACTTTGATCAATTGCTTAACTTTCAGTTTGAACCCAAAACTTTCTGAGTCAGGGACAACGGCATTGTGAAAAACTTGAAGAATAAGTAAATGTTTAAAGCTAGTCAGCATGGCTGTATAGTAGCGGAGAAGGAGAGATCGTGCTCAATAACTCCATTAGAATTTTTCAAGATAATATTAGAAGTTGGATAAAGAGATTTATCATTGACATTCTTTATCTATACATCAACAAGTGTTTTCAGGTACAGCTATATGCAAGTTAGTCAACTAGGTGGATGTCTTGAAGTGGTTTGACATCAAATTAGTTATCTGACAATATACCACTAGGAGTAGCTGAAGCTTTTCTTATTGATGCATTATACCAATTATTTGCAAGAGGGGCTACAATCAAAACTGTTCAAAGGGAGAAAGACGGTTATGGGTACTCAGGAGTGGGCTGAACAAGCACAGGGAGACTCATGCAGATTTACCAGATGGATTGAGAAACTATAATTCAATTTCATTGTTGACAAGTATAAAGTGGTACAAAAGGGTAAAAAAAAGTTAAACACTACAGGTATAAAGTAAATGAAGTTTGAAGATACATGGAAAGTGTTTGAGAATGTTGGCGGAATACAGTCTGGTAAATAAAATCTTGGGTTGTGCAGTCCATGGAAATGAGCACTGAATCTTTGGAATTCTCTACCACAGAGGATTGTGGATGATCAGTCATTGATTTTGTTCAAGCCTGATGTCAATATGATTTTAGATTGTAAGGAAATTAGGGGATCTGGTCGGAAAATGGATTTGAGATTTTTTGAATTAAGATTTTTGAAATAATGAAGTACGCTTGATGGCTTATACTCCTGTTCCTGCTTGTTATATTCCTAATACAAATGACAGGACATATAATGGGGCTACAACAAGACGGTGTCTCTTCCTTATCTGTAATTTATACAGCTCTGGTTGCCATATTTAAACATGGACACTGATTATAGCAAGGCACTGCAAGAGCTGAATTTATAAAGTAGTTCCTGTTCTTTGCATCTGGATGTATCTCGATGGAAAATGAGAATGGGATCACAAAACTTTGAAAATGGAATAAGTGGTAAGCGTACTATTGTATCATAATGTGTTCCGAAGAAAGGTCACTGGAGCAAAACCATTAACTCTGCTTTGTCTCCACAGATGCTGCTAGACCTGCTGAGTTTCTCCAGTAATTTCTGTTTTTGCTACTATTGCATGAATCAACATGTTGGAACTCTAGTACAGTGGGTCACATCCTGCCTAAAGTTTTTCCTTTCCTTCCCTCACTTCTATCTCTTTCAGTGCTTTTACCTTCTGTCAAACATGCTTCTGGTTCATTATTCTCAGAGTTTTCTTCTGCAACCTCCTCTACCTCTTTCTCATGAGCTTTCAGATCCACGGTACTGCACTGGGAAGAATCTATATTCAATTTAATCTGTACAGGAATGAAATAGCAGTGAATAATTAATATTGAAATAGAGAGGAGCCACAGTAAAATTCTCTAAGTAAAATCAAAATTATTGACAGGACAAGATAAACAGAAAGTCGGCCAGGCTTGGAGCAGCTGACAAATCAATGCTAGATTTGCTAGCATTCCTGTGACATATTCACAACTCTTATTTTCTGCAAGTACATTTGTTTGGTAATGCAATTATGTTGCTCCTTGTGTGGGCATTCTATTGTTTCAGTCATTGATCCACATGAGCTAATGAGTACTATAAAAACAGTATCAGCGTTTGAAATGAAAGCCTTAGGGAATGCGCAAAGGAATCCCAGATAGCCGTAAGGTCATCACATGGGTTTCCGTCTGGGGCAGGATATACCAAGAGGTCTCCATGTTAAAATTTTCAATATCTACTGACTTACTGACCCATTGTTTTTGTTGTGGTGTAATGATAAATGGATCTGAAATTTACTGGCGCTTCAATGGAAACTTGAGAATGATGCAAGATGGACTACTGTTTGCTGTCCTCTATTTTTCAATGTCACACAAGGCCAATTTCACCCCATAGTTTCTGCAAACGTCGGTAACATTTTCCATTGGGTATGTCAAACAGACTTTCAAAAAGATGAGGTACAGTCTGGGAGCGTACCAATATTTGTAGTGGCTCCCTGGAATTTGGCAGCACCTGCTAAGAATCCTTCTACCCAGAACAGTTGTAAAGCATTGAATTTATCTTTGCAAAGTATTATCGAATGATCAAGGATTAATGCTGGAATATCATCGAATGATCAAGGACTGATGGTGGAAAACAAGAATAAATGTACCAGAATTGCTGCCATATCAGAGTTAGAAGTTACCCCTAAAATCCATATGCAGCACACAAGTATAATCTATATTATAAAACCAAAGGAGTGCTGCACCAGTGCTTGTGTCATCCTTCTGTTGAGGCTCTATCACATCCTTTCAATTGTTTGTTAATTGCCCCACTATTAGAGAAATGTTCATGCCCTCAATGTATTACAATGAAGTTCACATAAGCGAATTACTACTATTATATAAGCAAATGAGTTACCCTGGACAACATACATTCAAAAAGAGGCCAATATTTTACTGCATAACAACAGTGGCTGCACATCAAAGTAAGTGCATCTGCGTAGGAAGTGTTTTACAAGGCAATGAAGATCTATATACTTGAAAAGGCTTTTCAGGTCCACAGTAGGAAAGAAGTCCCAGCCATCAGCCAATAAATCATCCAAGTGACAACTGTGCACATAAACTTACTGATTTGGGAATTTCATCTTTAATTGGCAATAGGTCCCGATCCTGAGGAAAAACATTAAAAGGACACACATTTCAGTCTAGTTATCAAACTGAAGGTTTATTCAGACATGGCCTTGTATAGAGGCTTAAATAATGGACTCTATGGATATTAATCCTTCAGTTTACTGTGGTATCTACAGGTCCAGTTCATTTGACATTATTCCTTACCTCTGAAGAAGACAAGTTAAAGACCTGATCCAAGGCCTCAAATGACTCTGCTGTAAAACTGAGATCTGCAAACGGAACTAGAGTGACTTGGCAATAAGCTTTGTTCCCTGTTTGTTGTAAAATACTTAAATGCCCTACCTTCTAGGTCATACAGTGTAGGCCACTTAGAACTGAGTTGTGGAGAAATTTCTACACTTAGAGAGTGGTGAGCCTGTAGAATTCTCTACCACAGGATGCATTTGTGGCCAAAACATTGAAAAATGTTTTCAAGAAGAGGTTAAAGACAGTTCTTAGGGATAAAGGGATCAAAGGGCATGGGGAGAAAGCAGGAACAGGGTATTGAGTTAGATGATCAGCCATGATCACATTGAATGGAGACCAGGCTTGAAGGGCTGAATGGCCTACTCCTGTTTCTGTTTTCTATGTGTCAATTTTTTTTGTCCCTTCTCAGTGCCACTACTTAGGCTCAGAACTGATAACAGCAGAATGTTGACTTCTTTTCGTTGAAGAAAAGAAACCATTGAATCAAACTGATAACTATTCAGGATTGGAGTCTGTAAAGTACATGATAAAAGATTTTAAATTTCTCACTTGTTTGTTTCTACATCTTAAATTAAATAAGTGCAAGTCCCCAAAAGTGGAGGGAATCTTCTCAAAATGGTTGGGTCTCGTTATTTGGAATTAGCATGTGTAAAGGAGCATGGAACTTAATACAATTACAATCATCAGGGAAAGGGTACTGAAGAAAATGATTCAAATTAAAATCTCACAAGTCCCTGGCCCTGATGGATTTCAGCCTAGTGTGTTAAAAGAAGCACATGCTGGGATATTAGATGTATCATTTGCAATTTACCAAAAGTCTATCGATTCTGGAAAAGTCTCAACAAATTAGAAAAACGCGAATTACATCGCTTTATTCAAAAACAAAGGAGGGAAACAGAAAACAGGAAACTACAGGCAAATAAGCTTGATATATTTCAAAGAAAAAATGCTGGAATGTATTATTATGGAGGTTAAAGCAAGGCACTTTGAAAATGTTAAAACCATAATGAAGTATCAACATGGATTTGTGAAGGAGAATCATGGTTAATTAATTTATCAGGGTTCTTTGAGGAAGTAACAAACAACATAGATAAAGGGGAATCAGTGGAAGTACAATACTTAGATTTCCAGAAGAAAATTGATAAGGTGCTACATCAAAAGTTACCTTACAAACCAAGAGCTACTGGTGAAGAGGGAGCATATTAAACATGGATAGAGAATTGTTTGGCTAATGGGAAGCAAAGGACGGGCATAAATGGGTTGTTTTCAGGTTGTCAGGATGTGACAAATGATGTGCCACAGGCATCGCTATTGGAGCCTTAATTTATAGTTTATACGAATGAACTGGATGAAGGGACCCAAGGTGTGGTTGCTAAATTTTCTGACAATACAAAGATAGTTTTGTGCCTAAGTTATGAAGAGGACTTAAGGAGTTTGCAAAGGGATATAGATAAAGTTGCAAAAATTTAACAGATGGCGTATAACATGGGGAAAATATAAGTTTGTCTACTTTGGCAGGACCTGGTATATGAAACATAAAAGTTAATATGCTGGCGCAGCAAGTAATTAGGAAAGTAAATGGAAAGTTGTTGTTTGTTGCAAGAGGAATGGAATATAAAAGTAGGCATGTTTTGATATAGAATGTTTGTGAAGTCACATTCAGAATACTACATACAGTTTGTTTCCCTGGCTTAAAAAAGGATCTAAATGCATTAGAAGCCATTCAATTGATACCTCGATGGGAGGGGATTATCTGAGAGGAATGGCTGAACTGGTTGGGCCTGTATCCACTGGAGTAGAGAAGAATGATAATGGTAATCTTACTGAAGCATATACAATTCTGAAAGGATGTGAGAGTTTGAATGCTGAAAGAATGTTTTGCCTTGTGAGAGAATCTAGAACTTGGTGATACCATTTAAAATTAAGATGCTCGCGTTTATGATGGAGGTGAGGAAGATTTTTTTTCCCTCAGAGGGTTGAGAGTCTGAAATGTTTTTGCCCAGAGAATGGTGGAGGCAGATCATTGAATTCTTTTAAGGCAGAGGTAGATTGATTCTTGATTGATAATGGCGATTGTGACAATGTGGGAATGTGGTGTTTAGGCTACAATCAAATTGATCAACCATGGTCTTATTGAATGGTGCAGGAAACTAAAGATGAGCAGGCTACAGCCATGGCCTCTTGCTGCTTCTAACTTGTAAATTTTTTATGTATGAGAGATCAACTAAGATTGGACTTAGTCCACTTATCAGCCTGAGTTTCCTTCATTCTTGCCTGCTGTCATTTCAGATTTGTCACTTGAGGCAGGTCACGGGCTAATTTGGATGTAAATGTCACAGCCTGATTACATTATCGATCCTGCAACATGACATTAATGTCAACTGTGTGTGTCAGTAACAGCAGATGAACACAGTCATACATAATGACTGGCCAGAAGAAGCCAGGATCAGTTTAAGGACAACATTACCTTTATGTCATTATGGACCAAGAGGAGCAGAAATGATCTCCACTCAAGAGCTCTTATGTCACCCTAACCCCAGCTTTGTATCACTTTTTACGTGTTGGCATGATATAAAACAGGTAGGTCCACAGATGGTAGATGCATTGGTTGTGATTTTCCAAGAATCATTGAATTTGGAGAACTACTAGAGGATTGGAAAACTGTTAGTGTGACACCCTTATTCAAAAAGGGAGGCAAGAAGGGAGTGACCATAGGCTGATTAGACTAACATCTATTGTTGGAAAAGTTTTGGAATCAATTATTAAGGAAGTAATGGCAGAACATTTGGAAATCATAATCTAATAAAATAATGTCAGCATGGCTTCATGAAAGGGAAATCGTGCCTGACTAACTTATTAGAGCTTTCCGAGGAAATCTCAACCAGAATGGATAGGGAGGAAGTAGAAGATGTGTTGAATTTGAACTTTCAGAAGGCGTTCAACAAAGTACCTCACAAAACGTTAGATAAGAGCCCATGGTATTACAATAATATATTGGCATGGATAGAGAATTGGCTAATGGGCAGGAAGCAGCAAGTAGGGACAAGGGATTCTTGTAAGTTTGGTGATCCATGACAAATGGAGTTCCGAAGGGATCGGTGCTAGGACCCCAAAGTTTACAATGTAATTTAATGATTTGGAGAAAGGAAGTGAATATCCTGCAGCCAAATTTACAGATGACACAAAAGTAGGTGGAAAGGGAGGTTTCAAGAGGGATATAAACACTTTGCAGAGAGATATTGATAGGTTAAGTAAGCGGTCAAAAAACTTGGCAAACGGAGTATAATGTGGGAAAATATGAAGTTGGATATTTTGGAAAGGAGAACAAAAGAAAAAAAGTATTATGGAGAAAAACTTCAGAAAGCTGCAACACAAAGGCACTTCAGGGTACTTGTGCATGTAACACAGAAAGCTAGCACACAGCTACAGCAGGTAATCAGGAAGGTTACTGGAATGTTTGCTCTTATTTCAAGGGGTTTGGAGTTTAAGAATAGGGAAGTTTTACTACAACTGTACAAGGTTCTGGTGAGACCACATCCAGAGTATTGTGAGCAGTTTTGGTCCCCTTATCCAAGGAATGATATCCTTTCATTGGAGTAGATCAGAGAAGGTTCGCTATGATAATCGCCGGTATGAAGGGATTGTCTTAGATGCAAAGGATAAAGAGGTGGGCACCTATTCACTGGAGTTTAGAAAAATGAGAGGTGATCTCATTGAAACATGCAGGAATCTAAAGGGGCTTGACAGGGTAAAAGCTGAGAGGGTGTTTCCCCTCAGCGTCTAGGACCAGAGGGAATTACTCAGAATAAAGGGGTGACAATTTAAGACTTGAGTTGAGGAGGAATTTCTTCTTTCACAGGGCACAATCCTTGGGTATATTTAAGGTTGAGATACGTAGATTCTTGATCAGTCAGGGTTTCAAGGATTATGGGGAAAGGGCAGGAAATTAGATGTGAGGAATGTTGGAACAGCCATGATCCTATTGAATGGTGGAGCAAGCTTCAGGGTCGAACAATGTGCTCCTGTCCCAATTTTGTATGGTCTTATAGCATGACCAAAGCGCTTGTCCAGTGCCAGTTTTGTGCTGAAAACCATTCCTGGCATCATAATGTTTCCTCCCTCATTTCTGCCCCTATCAATCCTGTCAGTTTTGGGAGGGAGGCTGTCTTATATTGTTTATTCAGGCATAAGATTTAGAACAGACCAGGCATTGCATGGTGATTTCTATCCTGTGTATAACCTTACACCTGGTCTGACTATGCCCTCTGACAATGAAAATCGAGCATAGGTAGTACAATTCACAGACAGAAAATAATCCACACTTAAGATTTGCTGAACTGTTGCTTGAATGCCATCTTGTGCTCAATATTTAATGAATAATTTTATGAGTATTTAAGCAAACGAGTATGAGATGCTCAAAATCCAAACCACGCTTCTCACCATGTTGACATCCTCAGTGTCTTCAGAGCTTTGTTCCTCCTCTTCAGCATCAGATTCACCCTCGGCAATAGGAACATGAACAGTCAAGTGAGCGTTGGCCAAGAGGCCCAAGTGATCATTTTTCCCTTTTGTTGTGGTAACCCCATCAAGTTTAGACCGCTCTTCCTTTCCAGTCTCTGTGTCTGTGTGGTTAAAGTCAAGAGCCCCAGTTTTTGAAGACGACAAGTCATCTAATTGTTTCACTTCCTGGTCAGGTTTCTTTCTTCGAAAGATACTGAGAATAAAGCCTTTCACAAAATCTATCGCCCTGGTGATTCTGTTGAGTGCAATTTGCAGATTGTTCATTTCTGAGTCATCATCAGGTGCTGAGAGGTTATCTGCACTGAAGGAGCTTAACAGCAAAGCCAGGAAGAGGTTAAGCACCTGCAAATGAACATTTGGCCATCAATGATCACAGTCTTATTAATATCGTATACACAGGCCACAGGAAAAGGGAAAAGAATGGTTGTTATGTTGCACCCAAAGTCCTAGGGATTAAAAACATAATCAACATGCAACTTCTGTTCTATTGTTTTATCAAATGTCTTCTCTAAACCACACACTGCTTTCCCATTCAAAACCAAAAGAACTGCGGATGCTGTAAATCAGGAACAAAAACAGAAGTTGTGGAAAAGCTCAGGAGGGCTGGCAGCATCTGTGAAGAGAAAATCAGAGTTAACGTTTCAGGTCTGGTGATGTGGAAGGGTCACTAGACCTGAAACTTTAACTCTGATTTTTTCTTCACAGATGCTGCCAGACCTGCTGAGTTTTTCCAGCAACTTCTGTTTTTGTTTCAGCTTTCGCATTCCTCTGATAGTACCAGTAGTAATATACAGGATGATTAATTTTCTTTTGAGGAAAATCTATTTATTTCTATTGCAGGGGAGTCCAAAGAGTGTCCTGGCTCTGAATCCTAACCACTTTTGGGTTCTCGGAGCCCCAGCAATTAAGTTCTGTTCCTGATTATATTTCTTATTTGCTGATTTCTCCTGTTTAAATTTGGTACGCCTAATAGTTTGGAGAGGCCCAATGCCTCTTTGGTGAACAAATATTAAAACAGGAAATTGAGATAAGTCAGTGTAAGAAACCTCAGGTATTATTGGCAATAAGAGTTTAAACTTTACAAGTAGCCCATAGCACTCCATGATCCACATACAGCAGACCCACAAAAACAAGCCTAGACCAGAATGACAAGAATTAAGTGGGCCCAATAATTATTATAATTATTATAATTATTAATTCATGCGGAGGATATGGATGTCACTGGCAAGGTCATCATTTATTGCCCATCCATAATCATCCAGCAGGCAGCTTAGAGTCAAGCATGTTGCTGTGGGTCTGGAGTCATATTGTAGACCAGACCAGGTAAGGACAGCTGCTTCCTTCCCAAAAGGGAACTAATGAATAAAGTGGGGCTTTCTAACAATCAACAATGGTTTCATGGTCATCATTAGATTCTTGATTCCAGATTTTTACTGAATGAAAGCTCTACTCCCATGGTAGGATTTGAACCTGGATCCTCAGAACATTTCCTAGATCTCTGGACTAATAGTCTAGCAATAATACTGCCAGGCCATTGTAGTTGCTCAGTAATAAGTTCTTTAATCCATAGAGACACACAGAGCTAATTTTATTAATTTTTGATTAGGAAAATGAAAGCAGTACAGTTAATCAGCTGTGGCAAACTTAGCACAAACTTAAACCGCAGTTTTCTTCTGGATTACACAGGCTTTCACTTAACTCAATGTGCTCTTTAATTCACACTGCAGACTGGTTTCCTTTGTCATACTCTATGCAGTATTGAGGGACAATAGGCACATGTTCAGCTGCACTGATTGGTGAAGAGGGAAGGTACAAGAGGGTAAATAAAGAATTATTTTTGTGCAACCACAAAAAATAGGAATACTTTTGAGCTTCATAAGAATGATGCAGCCAAATGCTCTTCTGCCACAATCCAAATATTCCCCGACAGTTGGACTGGCCTCTTCAGCTAATGAGGTGGCCTGTGTTAGCATGCAGCAAGACCTAGACATCATTCAGGCTTGGGCTGACAAGTGACAAATTTGTTTAACACAAGTGCCAAGCAATGAGCATTGTTAGTTGAGAGATGATCTAACCATTTGATCTAACCTTAAAATTCAATATAGCACACCTAGGGCCATGGATGAATCTTTAACCATCAACATTCTGGGGGTGACACCATTAGTCAAAATATAACTTTTTAACACAAACGCTGCAGCTAGAATAGCAAGTCACAGGTTGAGAATTCTGAGTAACTTAACTCTTGACACCCCAGAGTCTTTCCACCATTGAAGATACACAAGTCAGGAATGTGATGGAATATTCCTCCAGCTCCAGTACTCTCAAAGTACTCATCCACAAGAAGGAAACTGCCTCATTAGCATCCCATCCATCATCTTAAAAATTAAACCCCTCTAACACTAGCTCAAGGCAACAGCTGAATTCACTATCTACAAGATGTACTGCAGCTAATCACCAAGGATGCTTTGGCAGAACCTTCCAAATAGGCAGCCTGTGTCATCTAGATAACCGAGGGCAAAGGGCACATAAGAGTGCCTGCCAGTGCAAATTCCACTACAATTACACACCACATTGACAGGAAAAGATATCTCTGTCCTATTGCCATCACTTGTTCAAACTCCTGGAACTCCCTCACCAAGAGAACTGTGTGCATGATTGCAGACAATGACTTGAGTGGTTCAAGAGGATGCTTCACAACCACCTTCTCAATAGCAGTAAGGAATGACCAATAATTGCTGGACTACCAACAGTTCCCACATCCCATAAAAGAACAGAATGAAACAATTTTTGCTCGTTCTGTGCAGGATGCAATAGAGGAAGTTCATGTTGGATGCGCCATGGCATCAAGGCCTATAGCTCCCTCAGGATGGACCAGACACTCCGCCAACAGTACTGAGCATTAAAATCTATCTTTTTTGTTGTAAAAAACAAATACTTCTGAAATAACTACACAGAGGCCACTATCCCATCACCAAGTCACTCTTTATTTACTTGTGCACAGTACTCTGGCTGTGGCCAGTCAGCTCGGAGTCAGTCACCAGAACTAAGGAGATTCTAACCTCCTGTTTATATTGGTCAGCCAGGGCTTTCCTGATTAGGGTTGGTAACCAGGGCCAAACAACGATCTTCTAGTCAATGAGGTCAACCTGGTTCCAATCACTACATCTCTCCCCCAAGTCCGTGGATGTCTTTCACTCGTAGCTTTATATGTGACGTTTTCACACCAAGTCTGGTTCCTCTGATTCAGACTCTAACACGGGCTGTGTGTACTGCACTGTGGCCCAACTCTTATGTCCTGAGTGTCGTGGGAGAGTTTGCTCCTCTTCTTCCGATGGTAATGTTTTGAGGCTGCATCCATCTCAGACTCTGAGGTTTCCTCGACAGAGGGGGAGAGCCTATGGTTTCAGACAGGCCTCCTGGCTGTTCTGAGGGGCCAGTATGTTTTGTTCCTGCCCCGTTTGTGAGGGAACAGCTTTCAGGTGATCCACGTGTTTGTTCAGGACTGTAACACGTACCCAAACTTTGTAAGTGATGGGATCTTGCCTTGTGCCCATACATGGTCATTTCCATGGTTCCAGCACCAAACTTCATCCCCTGAATTAAATTGCCTCTCTCACTTAGAGAAGGCATGTGGCCGGCATTAGTGTTTCACCCTCCACTGCCCCCTTGCCCCCACCCCCCCAGTCTGAAAATATCAGGTCTAACCTGGTGCAGAGTCTTCTCCCCATCAGCAACTCTACTGAAGCTATCCCTGTTGTTGCTTGTGGATTGGTCCTATAATCGAATAGGAACGAGGACAGTTTGGTATCAATTGATGCTGTAGGTTGCTTCATTAAGCTTGCTTTCAACATTTGGACCATTCTTTCCGCTAGACCATTGGACAATGGACAGTACGGAACTGTCCTTATGCGCTGAATGCCATTGGACTTTAAGAAATATTCAAATTCCCTGCTGGTAATGACATCCCATTGTCTGTGACTGATACTCCTGGGAGCCTTTGTATCTTGAACAATGCTCACAGCTTCTCAGCTGTCATTCCTGAGTTTTCTGAATGAACTTTATGTATGTCCAACCACTTTGAATGGGTGTCCACAATGACCAGGAACATTGAGCCCATGAAAGGACCAGCAAAGTCAACATGCAACTGAGTCCAAGGTTTTCCTGGCCATTCATACGAATGTGGGGGTGCTGCTGATGGCAATTTTTGTCCCTGTTGGTACTCTGGGCACTGCCCCACCAATGCCAGCATCCAACCCCAGCTCCAAGGCATAGCTTCTTGCTAGCATCATCATCTTGGAAACCCCTTGATGACCCTGGTGGAGTTCAGCCAGTATCTGGTGGCGACCTTTACTCGGGATATTCAACTTTGCTCCCCACAGTAATATGCCATCGTCTACACCGGGTCCAGAAAGGTTTCACAATCGGTACGACCGGTGCTGCCCATTCTGCAAACTGCACTGGTTTGATGGTTCCTTCTCTCTCCAGCTTCCTGATTTCCACCTCTACTTTTGTCTGCAAGGCCAATGGCACTGGGTGGGCCTTGTAAAATCTCGGAACTGGTTCCTGGCCAACATGTAAAGCGTCTTTGTCCCCTTTGATAGTCCCAAGCACTTTCTGAAATACACCTGGTTATTTCTCTACGTCTTCACTGAGGCAGCCATTTTCTAATCGAAAAATGACAAGCCAATCCAGGTGACTCTTTCTCAACCAGTTCCACCCCAATAGGCTTGGGCCTGATCCTTTTATTACCATCAGTGGAAACTGCACCAATTGCTTCTCATAGGAGACCAGAACCAAAGTTGTACCCTTAATCTGCAATGGTTCCCCAGAGTATGCTGTCAGTCTGGCTGAGGTCTTGTGCAAACTTAAAGATTGGAGTCCTGAGCGAATCTTGTTAAAGACAGATTTTGCAACAAAACATACAGCTGTGCCGATATCAACCTACATGTGAACTGGGTGACCATTTAACCTAACAGTAACTTTAATCGTTCTGATTTGGGTGTCACTAAGCAATTTAATTGTTCCAACCCACATGTAGGGGGACTTTCCAGGGTGTGCGCTGTCCTGGGTACCGGCCTACAAGTTTTCTTACTCAAGTCAGGCCTTTTAGGGCTCCTTTGCTGTCTTGAGTTCGCATACTGACACCAAATACTTTGACTTGCCGGCCTACATTCTGAAGAACCTTTTAGCCACTTAGCCAATGCTCAGCTTTGTTGTGGGGTTCTGCTGTGGGTTGGCTTAGGGTACCCCTGCTCAGGATACGCCGTGCATGAGGCTCTGTGAATGCCTACACTCAAGTGGTATTCCCAAGCTCAGTCAGGCAGGTAAGGGAGTCCACTTCC